CACCCCACCAACCCCATCCCTTCCTTCCCAGGTCAAATGATGTAAGAAATGAGACGTGGCTGGTGAATAGACTTTCATGCCCCCGCTTTTCCAGTGTCATTTCCGTAACTCTGAAAATTGTGCCATGGTCTACAGGGCTTTGTTGTAAATCACTATCTCGCGCTGTCAGACTGCAGTCTGCTGCACACTGTGGATGCCTGGCTTTCCGCTGCCTCCTGGGTGACTAATATAGCTTGTTAAATTGTGCTGAGGCGCGTGCGGAAAACTGAACACCTTTGCACAATGTTTGTTTTCTTGCATCCGTGGCTCCTGAACATCGGCTAGCTCATCGGTTCATCTTTAAAAAGAACATCATTATCGCCGGAAGACGTTCGCTAAACTCCGCACAGCTGTCCTGTCACTGGCTTTGCTTGGTGATGCAGTGAGACGAGCTTCCACTCACCACCACTACAGTGTCAGCGTTGTGAAGCTATCTCTCAGTCTTTTCATAATTAGAAAAGCTGCGGAGCCAAGCCACAGTTTGGGGTGTGTGCATGTGTGTGTGTGTGTGTATGTGTGTGTGTGTTTGGAGGGGGGGACTGCTGGCAGTTGCGTTATTCAACATTGGCAGCAATGTACTCTGTCTCCCACCCTAAAGACACAAATCTAAGTGGATTCATACGCACATATGGTACGAAGCTGGACTCTCACAACCAGTTTTTGCACCCTATACACTGGAGCTGTGCATGCACAATTGCACACACATAAAGACTCCGTCTGGTGCCTTTGTAAATAGATTTATGAGTGTATTTTAGTGTAATTGGTGTTCACCTACATGAAACGGGAAGAGCTAATTACCCATTGTTAAGTGAGGTATAAACTGTAAGATCAACCTAGATTTATCTTCTTAGCTCGCTGAGAACAGAACAGGGATTTTTTTAGGGGGGGGATTTGACTCTCCTTGCTATAATCCAGTTCCCAAATCCCTGAGCCCCATCTAACTCTGTTTTGTAGCTATGAAAAATTCAATCTGAGGCTCAGATTGATCTTCAAACCTTGGGTGGCCCCCTGCCGATGGCAATTTAACGTGGAACACACGTCACAGTTTCTGCTTCCTTATCGTATGTACGTGCATCGGTGGGCGAGAAGCACGTCTCGCCTTATGTTGGTTTCTATGCAATTACGGTTCCGACTGCTCCATAAATAGACTTCTCTGAAGGGAATCTGTCTCATTAGGAAGGAGCGATTATGAAGTTGCCACTCTACCCCGCAAGAAAACTTGCTCTAACGGTCACAAAAGGCCTCGAGACATGAAAGGCAGAGCGTCACGGTAAATGGGGAAGAGAAACTTTCAGTCTGATGTGTTCTCCTGAAATAGTTAGGCAAGTTTTGTTCCGCACAAAAGAAAGAAAAATGAAGCTTAGTTGGCTGGCACAGACAGCAGCGACAGATACATATTTGGCACGAGAAAGACTTTGGAATCCTTGGAGCACAAACACGTCACATCATACAGAGCATGACTAATGGACTCAAACAGTCAAGGTGCTTCTACCAAACTACAACTCCCAGAGGTGCTTTCTGCTACTGATTTCAAGAGTTTGCGAGCAAATCCACATTAGCGCCACACGCTGCACATGTGGGCTCAACAACTGCCCCCAGTTATCCAGACACTCACATAGCGAACAGGGAGGGAAGGTCCGGAGACATGACCACAAGGGATCGGAGGGTGCTTTAGCACCAACAGCGGCTGATGGGATTTCATCAGCTCCAGATGCAGACGAAGACAGGAGCAGAAACGCTCGATATTATGAGCAGGACACATCAGCGTGATGCGGCCCATCTGGAGCACAAATAATGCAATCAGCTCGGGTCACCGGTCGTTGCTGCCTGGCCGTCAGTTAAACCCACCAACCTGTGACGCGCTCGCGGGGACAGGCTGGAGCGGATCGACTCCAGCTTCGCTCAGAACATCCCCGCCCCTTTAAGTCCAGCACATGAGTGAAGCCGTTTGGATGAAGAATGAGATGAAATGTGAGGGACTGCCTAATGCAATCTGCGCTTTGCTGTGTGAAACACTGATGGCTCTGATGCTTCTTGTCACGTCGGCCCTGCAGTGTCACATATTCACATCTTCACAACAGTGAAAAAACATACACACCATGCTTGTGTGTGGATCCCCCCCAACACACACACACACACACACACACACAGACACACAACAAGTACACACCAGGACTCTGTTTGCATGCAGCGCCTTTAAATATGCAGCACCTCCCAGTGCTCCCTGTTTGACTTTGATCAGCCACAGATTCCACCTCTGTCCCTTTCATCTATGAACTTCAAAACCTGGACCACAAAAAAAGAAAAAGAAAACCTGTTCTGGTTCAGACAGACCATCTCCTTTCACCAAGCTGCTCTCTGGATCACATAGAAACAAGAAGGAAGCAGATGTAGTTAAGAAAAAAAAAGAAGGAAAAAAAAGAAGACAAGCAATGAGGTTGACCTTTTCTTTTCTAATGTAAAGTCAGAGCCTTCATCCCCTGGCTACTCTCAAATGATGAGTTTGTAATTTCAAAAAAGCGTGAGCTAAGAGGAGTGCTTATTGCAAAATTTTCCCCTGATACTGAGCACAAACAACTTTTTGGCACATAACCATTTCTTTCTTTTTCTTTTTTTTTCTAGAAACATGAAGCAATCCAAATGGAGAAAAAAGGGACCTCAGAAACTTTTTTTTTTTTTTCAAATCTCGCCCCCTCCTCCCATCCTCAGGATTACACCACACCTCTCCCTGTCACTCCACGGGCTCTTAAGTAAAACAGCCAACTTCATTCCTTTTATAGTTTCCCTGCATTATTCAGCAGAAACATAAAAAATTCAAAGACACATCAGGGAGAGCCTATCATCTGGTTGTCAATAACGCTAGAGGACATGTTTTTAGAGGGTTGACTCAGAAGAGGTGCTCTCCTTTACAGGTAAAAAATATAAAAAAATAAAAATAAATAAAAAAAGGAGCAAGGCCTGGTTTTATGAGGCTGTTGTCCCACCTGCACCAGATCACATCCAGTGGATCTACCAGCATGGCTTGGATCATCAGCGGTGAGCCACACAAATAGATTCAATTACAAAATGCGTGAAGCTCCATGCGTGATAAAGGAAACGTGCGTAAAGAGGGTCATGACAATGGGCTGTCCAGGATCGTTTGAATACCATGCTTCATCTTCTATACACAAACGGATCAGAATGAGACACGATTTAAAACGCATAAAAGTTAAATAGAAAATCTAAAGAAAAACTGGGGTCTATGCGCACACAACAGAAACAGTCTGCCAACGTTTAAGGAAAAAAAATACAGAAGTTACTCAATTAAAAGAGAGAAATCGGTCCGCATGCAGATTTCTTTTCTTTTACAACTACTTGGGTCTGCCTGTGTAATGTGTGAGCAGGATGAAAACCAGCTCAAGACGCTGCYAGAAGTAACTCTGATCGAGACTGATAATAAGCGCGTTTCCACACCGTTTTTCTGATTTAAGTTGGGAATAAATCCCGCTTACCTGATTGATGAAGTTTATTCTTGTGAAGAATGATTGAAAATAAAAATGTTTCCAGAAGAGAGAGGGAGAGAGAGAGAGGGAAAAAAAACCCCAGGGGGGGAACACACACAAACGTAAAGCCGGAGCTGTGTATCCGCTCGCTGCGGCTTTTGTTGGCCGGTGTTCCGCCCCGACTGCGCGTCTCTCAGCCGCGCTGCATCACTTCTCGCTGTGGATGTCAGGGAGGCTGAGGGGACTCAACCCTCCCATTGGCTGCCATTCACAAGTMCCCGGCAGAACACGGCGGAGAAGGGAGGTGGGGGGTGGAGGGACACACGCACACATATAATCACACGCGCGCACACTGAGGAGCGACAAAAACAAAGGGACGATGGTGAGAGTGTCAGCGCTGCTTCGGTGAGGCTGCGTAAAAAAACAACCGAGCGGGGTTCAACTTTAACACGGAGCTGCGTGTGTCTGAGTCTTTACACACGCTTACACAGCATATATAAATATATTAGTAAAAGCATAGCTGGTAAACCCAGGCATCATGCATCATTAAAGGGATATTCCGACAGTTTCAAAGTGGGAAAATCATGAACAGTAAATATCTTACCTGTTGTAGAAATATGCTTTATTGACCTCAGTTAAAAAAAAAAAAAAAAATCTGGGTTAAACTTAGATCATACCACAATTGACAGCTTAAAGGGTAGAGTCATATGTTGTACCGATGTGGTGTATTAAAAAGCAGCTATCAAGTGACATTTTATGGTCATCATGTCAGACAAAAACATGCTGTCGAGGTACACATGTCTGCAATGGTTGATGTTTTTAATATACAAAAGCTAAGCAATGAAAAGCTAATGTTTTTGTTTAAATGCARTTCTACATGGAAATCAAGCCCTRATAAATTGTTTACATTGACAGCCTGCCCTGAACAATCGGGTGTCGCACTTGCACCACAGTGGTTGTACTTATGCACAGATATGTAGGCACTACTATGTCTTTAAATTCATTCTTTAAATTTTACAGATATTGAACTACAGGTATTGATTTTTTTTGTTTGCCATCACAAACTGATAAGTCTCTGAAAAGCAGACAAAATGGTGAATAGGGGTAGGATTRAATAAGTTTTACTTCTTACCCCTTTTCAGACATGTTAATGAGATTTATGTGCTTCATGTGAGTGTATGTATTTGGGTAGGTGTACACAGATAGGTGTGTGCACATCGGGTGTATATTTATGGGTWTATTTGTGTATAATTAGTCTAAGTGGTTTCATTTTTTGTATATATGTGCAAGGGTATATTGAGATACATAGATTCAAACTATGCTTTATGTAATGAATTTGACATGTCTGGAATAAAATCATAAATCAAATCAAGCTGAAATTTGATGTGTTTGTAACTCAGAGTCATCCCCAAATAGATGGCACGTTATTTCAAACTTTGGCTTAAATGGCAGCGGACACATTGTTTTTAGGGAAAGCTAATTTTAAATATGAATAAGAAATTAAGACAGGACAAATTTCAGTATGCTGTGCTGTTCACAGTTGTTAATATTACCTAAAAAGTAAGAAACCGAAGAAGGTTTCCATCGGGAGGCCACCACTTAACCCTATGATGCAGTATTCTTTTACATAGCCACTATATTAAAAATTCTGACAATCTGTTCTGGTTTTTGGTTTTGGTGTGTCACCTTAAGGTTAACAGTGACCTCCATCTGGCCACCACTTTAGAGAACTCACTGGCGGCGCCTCGGAGTATCTCAATGGCCGGCATCATATTGCAAAAGGCACTCACAAGGGACTTTCCAACTCTTCATATTTCGTTCCACAGCGCCCACCCCCCACCCCCCAAACTCAGTCTGTATATATATTCAAGGCAACAAATTAAATTGAAATGACTATTCAAAAACTACACTATTGTGTTAGTGATAAATAGCTTCGGTGTTTTAAACAATTTCACACAACAGTTACAGCGGYAAATCGATGTACATTTTCCTTTTCTCTTAAAGTTGTAAACCTAAATGTCCAAAGAAAGAAAAAAAAAAGAAATAAAAAAAAACACACCTAACTTCCTAAAACACTCCTGCAACTGTCACCAAAAATTTGGCCCCTCTGACTTCAGGAAATTGTAGCCTGGCTTTGCCAGTTCTCTAACAGTTTTTATTTGTTGCAGTAACAGTGGAAAAAAATCACAAAATACTCTCAGTTGCTTTTTACTGACTTGTTACAAATGCTGCAGTTTAATGGAAGTGCCTGACTAAATCCTACAGGCCACCTGTTTTCAAGCACCACCGATTCCATTTAATGGTCATTTCTGGGACATTTGTGCTGCTGGTTTTAAATGCTCTCAAAAGTGTCAACYCTAGAAATAATTTAGAAAAAAAGTTAAACTTTAGTAGCTTCTGTTTTGCAAAGGAAACCTAATATGCATGGTTTGCTAATCAGTTTAATTTAATGTTGAACTTTAACACAGCGGCAGCCTGTTTTTTCTGATTGTCTCTTTAGCACAAGTTAAGAAATACAGAAATCGAGGTCAACTGATGCTAATAAAAGTGCCTTTATAATGCATCTAAGTTTATAACTTTCCTGACATAAAAGGAAATTTGTGCAACCCTCGTGACTGACTAACAGGACTGTGTTGTGATTAGTTGAGTGTATTAGCAAAACTGAATTGTTATATAAAAATAAAATCTAACATAAATACAAAAGATCAACAAACACTACTCAGTTCTGAGAGCAATAGTTCAGATGTTTTTACATTGAGTTCTATGGAAAAGTTATGAACAACGAGTATCTTACCTGTTGTAGATATCTATTTGAACAATGTATATTTGGAGAAAGAGTTTAATTTTCACCGGATTGATGAGTAAACGGCTAGTCTGAGCAAGGCCAAATAGTTTTGTCTCTCAAAATAGTTGATGCAAACTCTGTTTTAGGTCGTATTCACATGTGTTAGTCCGCTAGACTTGGTTCGATTGGGGACCAAAATTGCAAGATTTGTTAAAAAAATTTTGGTGGTGCAGTTTGCATTCTCACTGCACTTTGTCAAATGAAATAATTATTGTGAACAACCTGTTCTCTCTCTCACCTGTGGTGGCACTGCACCAAGAACCGCTGAAGGAATCGACATGAAAACCCCAGAAGAAGACGTCCTTCTTCCGCTTAGCGTTCACACATGCAATCAAACCGCTCCAGAGTTTGCTTCAACGAGACATACGTTTTCAGGCGGACCAGAGTTTAATTTTTTTGGTCCACATCAAGGTTTGATTACGTGTTCACACCTCCCCAAATGAACCAGACTTTCCAGGGAAACAAACTASAGTTCAATTAAAGCAGACTGAACAGGGCTGGTGTGAATACACCCTTAGAAAGCTTTCCATCGCTCCCAGTATAGGAGTCTCAAGTATTTGTAAGCACAAATATTGGCCTCGGCAGCTAGCTTTAGCTTTTACACCAGTTTTCCATCCATATAAGGTTTTTGTGTAACCAACAGTTAACAGACCAGTGCATTATTGCCACYTTGTGTCAAACTGTAGACCTTCATGGTGCTGCTGACTTAAAAATATTGTGAATTTGATGTAATGTGTAGTTCACATGTAAACCACCACAATTGAACAAATCTGTCATCTGAAGAACCTGCAGAGTATCTTATAATCAAAAATATTTTAGCCTTAGCCAATAGTACGGTTAGGAAAATGGACCAGACCTGAGGTTGTGCTTGGTAAAATCTACATATCTGTAAATAAATATTCGGKTATGAGAATTGAATCAATATCCAGAATTTGGTTTCTCTTTTAATCATGATCTTTCAATAGTGAAGCTCCCCTGTCGCATAGCAAAGTGTGGAATTGTGAGATGGATAACCTGAAAAATAAAGGAGGTACCGGCTGCATGAGAGTGTAATGCAAGGTTCTGACAGAACGCGTTGAGAAGCCTCGCGGCACATCTAGCGCGGTGTGTTTCGAAGCGGTAGGCGCGTTTGACGTGTGTGTGGTGCGTCCAAAGCAGCCGACGCTGGAGTTGGAAAATCTGAAATTTTGCAGCTCGATGTGGAGCGTCAACCAATCAGAGAGACTCCATTATGTGACGTTGTGGCATATTTTTTTGATGGGACGGTTTCCTGAATAATGTCCACTAACCTGAGACAGACGGACCGRAGCTGTTGAGCTGAAATCGAGCGCATGTATTTGGTGCCCCGGCAGGAGATGCGGGCACCGATGCGGGTGTCAAACTGACCCTGGTGTCAAACCAAGCTAAATGTTTGAGGACACTATACTTTCTAGTTTTTCTTATCATTTTATATTGCATAAAAATATTTCATTTCCTCAAATGAATGGGGTGGCCGAAGATTATTCTATGGTTGCCAAGGCCACCATTTGCCACCCCCTGGCTCTGCCATTGCACGTAG